ACACTAATGAAGAGCTTCTTCAAACACAAGTGCTCATTATTAACGACACCTGGTTTTAAATGTGAGGTATATTATGCAAATTACATCCCCATTTTCAGCCCTGTGCAGGTTAACTGTGTAAATTCTGGTTAAAAAAAAAAAAAGGAGAATAATCTGTACCGAATATTTTGTAGACTTTTTTGTGATAATAGGTAAATAATGTCCTGTATAACTTCTCATTGATCTGTTATATGACAGTAATCAGGGCTTCTTAACCCGTTTCCTCATAGTAATATATTAATCATTTGCCTCAGCCACTCTGCTGTGAAAATTAATGTAGCTCAGTGTGTTTTCCCTTTAGGCTGCACTTTGATTAATGAGCCTGGTTCATTCTTCACTACTCTGCTTCAACATGGAAAACGCATCCCAATAAAGTTACAAAAGTTCACGGTACTCCCGTCCATCAATTCTGCACTAGTTGATTGCAGCGACTTATACAGATGCTGCAGTCGAGATACACAAGTTATGTGAAATACGGGATACTCAGAAGAGAGATGAAGAGCGTTTAAACATTTGAGATAATCTCTGAGGTGATAATGATTCAAACTCAGTAGGCAACAGGAACTAAGGCACAACTCAGGTTTTTACAAGTCAACACAGCAGAGGCCCCCAGGAAAACAAAGTTCAGACTCAGGGTGGGAGATAAATCCCAGCTGTAGACAAAGCCTATATTTCTGTATCCCTGCAGTTTTGCTCTAATCTCTCTCTCTCAGCCCTGTAAGCTATTAAAGGCCAGACAAAGGCAGTCCACAGTTAAGCACCCTGTGGGGAGATCTTATTTACAGTGTAACTGCCACTTTGACTGCCTGCCACCTCTGTCTTGCTCCTGTGCTTCCTTGGTTTTCCCTTCTGTCTACTATTTTTTCACCTCTCTCTTCTCATTCTATTCCACTTCCATCTGCTGCTGTGGGCTTTTAATCTCAAGCAGCTGAAATTCCATCTTTCAGCTCGGCTTGCCAGTTTGAAAGGCTTGGTGTTCAACTTCTTGTTTCTGACTTGGCAATTAATGGAACTATTTCAGCTTGAGGCATATCCCATTAGGTGAAGCTGAGACTGGATACAAACCTAAGTAAAAGGAGACCACTCTGGCCATTTCTTTCAGACTCACCACCAGTAAGAATCCCCCAACCCCCACCCCCTCCACACACACACACACAAATCTGGTGCTCAGCATCCATTTCACTTCTCTTGCCTTCATCAGCTACATCCCAAAAGAGTTTTGCTTCTCACTGTCTGGAGGTGAAACTGGCTGCAAGTGCATTCTTAGATAATTGTCAGCATTTAGGTTTTGGTAGGACCATACACACACACACACACACACACATACACATACACATTTTGACACTTGGCTTTTTGCCAAAGTGTCAGCAAGAAAATATACCCGGGGAAGAAGTCTTCATTTGCATAGTGTGGTGCCTTAAAATGGCCTGACACAAGTAATAAAAATGTATTAGCTTGCCAGGACATGAGGGGCTATGTTGTGCTGAGTGCATTACCTTGCAGTGCTGAATAAGCTACTGTAAGGCTACAAAACTTCCTCCTGGGTTCATGACAAGATTCTACCAGGAACTGATCATATAATTGTGAGACTGAGGCCTCATGTGTGGCGTTACTGCTGACACATCTCGCACTCGGGTGCCTCACCACGCATCAACCTGAGCAGTTCCTAAAAGTATCAGTACCAAAGGAAACAACCACTTAAGCCTAGTCCTCTAACTTACTCATTATCAGTAGATGCAAACAAGCCCATTGGCATTCAGACCATCGACTTGCAGCTCTGGCCCCGTTGAAACAGGCTCATTATTTTTCATTTTCATAATAATAAGTAATGTATAAGTTTTCCACAGCAGTTTGGAATATTTATAGGAAACCCAGACATCTTAACTGAGCAATCAGCACAATGCTTATTTTAAAGGAGCTGAAATTATTTTGCTATATAGCTTTAGTAACATCTTTGGAGGGTTAAAAAGGATTGAGCATTAAAATTCAACATTAATTTATTGCACAGTATATTAATGTAATTAGTGATTAAAAATTGAAATGTTTGCTGCTACCAGTCACCACTTGGCATGAAAAAAATAATACCACAGTACAAAATACTGAAGCAGGTAGTAAAACCAAAAACTAGCTAGCGATCTCTGATAGGGTAGATATTTCACAGGGCTGGCTGGCTGTGTGAACATGGTTCAGTCCAATATGCCAAAAATACTGTGAACAGAACCACCATCTGTTTTCTTGTCGGTCAGTACTGGCCCACCTTGTCAGACGGTGAAGAAATTAACGACATGCTAGACTTTGTGTTGGGAAACAGTGAGGTGTCTGAGAAGCTGCAATCGGTTGTCACTTATGACACACTACAAGAGATAAAACGACTGACTGTTGTGTCCAGTGCCCTACATCCATTGCATCAGGATGTCATAAAGCTTAACTCGTTTAGCCTGAACAAGCTTAAGAAATATTACTCAACTCGACAGCGCTCAGAGAGCACAAACCTCTGCCAAAGCAGCTCACTTATACCTAAAAGCAATATTCCCATGACAGTTTGAACCTCATAGAATGATTCACTCACCATGAAAACCTGTGGTTGTGGTTTTCTTCAGGATCTAGTTCAGTAACTTCTGAAGACAATAAACGTGTTGACACCCTGCCGAATCAGCAGAGTTTCAGCTAGATTTTGATCTCAGCTGCAAGTCCCAATCTCAAAACGGTAAAGAATCCTTTAAAACCTTCCTGAATCTGGATGATGATGCACCAGATCTAAAGTATTGCTCCGTGGACTGTACCCTGCCTCTCCAAGACTACAGCCAAATCTGTTCATTACTTTGAGTTATGCTGTGATCAAACCAATAAACGCTGGTAAACACAACTGATACTAATAATTACTACTTAAGCCCCTCTTGACACCCAACACAGGATTATATTATAGTATAACACAGCTGCAAGCAGTGTATTGATGTGGAGAGATGTCAGACTTTAAAAAAAAAAAGTCCACATTAAGTACCTCAGAAAACAGCTTCATGTGCCAAGCAGTGTCTCCCCAGGCCTGGTCTGAGATGCAGCACATGGCAAGAGCTTAAACACAAATCTGACCCAGGTCGAAGACAAGGCTAATGTATGGCCAAAACATAAATCACATTTGGACTGATTTTTAAAACTCTACCTCCTCCTTGCACTCCTGTCTGTGCCTGAGAAATCCATGGTGGGCAAGGCCAGTAACTATTCCAACATCAGTCAGTCAAAGGTTGACAGTCAAAAACTGCCTCATCTTTATTTCTAGTCTATATGAATAGACTGAGCAGCAGTGTCTGAAAGGTACAGTGTGATGAGGGCGAGTGTCAAGATTCAGTAACACAGATAAGAATGAGTTCTATTTTAAAGCTTTTAAAGGTGTTTTAAGATGCCTGAGAATGTGTTTGACAGCCTGAATGTCCTCTCACAATACACATTTGTAGCCGATTTACTTATAGTGGGCAGTTTTTGACATAAAAAATGTAGGACAGACCACATTCTGGGAGAGGTCAGTGGCTGTAGCCCTCAAATGAAACCCTTACTGATAAAAACTGGTTTTCTCAACCACTGTTAACTGATGTGATGCCAAGCTCTGGTGAATAAACAACAGCAAACAACACACTAAACAGTAAATGTGTAATATGTAAGTGAGCAAAATATGCACTTTATCTCACTAAACAGTTAACGTGTAATACGTAAGTGAGCAAAATATGCACTTTATCTTTCCACAGCTTTGTCATATTCATTTAAACATATTCACACTGGGACAAAGCAACACACGGTCCAAGTCCATGCCAAAAATATCTGCATTCTATGGAATGAATTAAATAGGACAATGCCACCATCTAAACTACTTTGAACTGAAACAAACAAAACACAGTGAAAACCTTGGAAGTCAAACATAATTAAATGAGACACAAACGCTGACTTGAAAACAGTCTAAAATTACAGCAGAAAATACCCTGCACGATTTCTTCCCACTCAAAGAAACTCCAGCAAGTTCCATTGAAAAAGTCACAAGAATGTATACATGCTACAAACCCCATTCATATATATCCAACCACACACACTGCATAAGTGTGATAAAGGCCTGCATTGTGTATGGCACTAGGACTTACCTTCTTTATCTGAAAAAGAAACCAGTGCAATGTATATTCAGTCACATATGGAAAGCTACAAGGTGCATTCACACTGAGCCTGCCGCAAATTTTAGAAGTGGAACAAATGTGTATAAAGTTAATTGAAAGGGTCACATGAATAAAAGTGGCACAACTTACAGCAAAGATGGCAAAAATGTTACAAAAAAATAAGTGATGAATTGAAGTGTTTGTCTGTGCTAACTGATGTCAAAAATAAGAGTTACACACACAAACACAGTCAGTTTGTCAGGTTAGTTAAGCTAATTTTGAGGCCACTTCTACAGTAAACGCACCTGATGTTTTAGCAAGTTAACTAAAAACTGGCACATGTTTCACAAAAACAAAAGGAAGGCAAACATTTGCTTCATGTTCAGTCTGAATGCAGCTTACAAGCACAGAATCACAGCAGCTGAAAAACAACTTTAAATAACAGCACTTAACATTTGTAGTGGAGGCCTACTTAAAAAAAAAAAAAAAAAAAAAAAAACCTGTCATGGCACCCACTTAAATATGCATACAAACACAATCTCTTGACACAACAAGCAGCCTAGACCCACTCACTGTTTGTAGGTGTACCTGGGAAAAAAAAAAACCCCAAATCTTGTCTCAGACAGACAGCAGTTTGCTGCCACTTGCTACACCAACTCATTTGTAATACATCATATCAAGCATAGCAGCAAACATGCTGCACATAAAAAGCAAAGGAATGTAGGCCCATTTTAACTGTAGTCCAGTTGGCTAAGCACAGGTTTGGTCATGGCACAAAGACCGAGAAAAATATAACTAACTTAATAAATAAAGACTTCAGCTTACTTTCTGTAGTTCAACTTGAAGTGAAGTCGATGTGCTCCTCTCTTGTAGAAGTCCTCCCCTTGGCTAGAGCAGGTTTTCTTTTGTTTGTTTGTTTGTTTGTTTTAACAATGACTTCAGAGTCCAAAAGTTCCCCATCATCCTGAATTCATATGGCGGAGAAAAGTTCACAACAGTCCTTTCTGACAGGTTTCTTATTACAAATTAAAAAAAGATGGCTGCCTATTCACAAAATGCCTTCCTCCATTTCCAACACAGAAAACTGCGTTTGTTTCAGAACCAGGTAGCTGGTTCAGAGTCAAACTTATGTCATGTACTCACTCACTCACTCACTGTACAAATAAAGAAAAACTTTTTAACCGTAAACAGCTTTTTTTTTGCACCGAGAAGTGAACAGCAATTTGGTAGGTTCAGGTGTATTTAATTAACTGACAAAAACAGTACTTCCTGAAAACTTGTGGTTCTTCATTGGTGACATTCTGCACAAGTGGGCGGGGCTATTCTCTGCCAGCCAATAAGATCATCACACACTTTAAATCAATGCCCTGCACAGGTGTTGCTCTTATCATATTAAAACCCAGCATCATGTTTGAAAACGAAACATATCAAATTTATTGGAGATGATAAAAAATAAAACAAGCTACAAGAAATTAAAAACAAGTGCACTTTCTGAAAAGACTGGAAAGATTAATTTTAAAAACAGAAGAGAGAAAAGTGAATTTAACTGTGAACACTGAGTTGAGGCAGGAGATTTAATTCAATTCAGATTTAAATATTTATTTTAGGAATAAATGTACAAAACAAATGACTGTGTACAAACAAATATACATGGATTTACTTTCTACTGAGGACACAGTTCCTATAAAAACTGCTGACATTTTGTTTGTAGGATAGGAAGATTTCTTTTATTTTAAATGTGAGCACCCCACCAAAAAAAAAAAAAAAAAAAAAAAAACGGGTTGCGAAGAATATTAAATATATCAAATAATTTGCAACTAGCAACTAAAGTTATACAACAAATGCAGTTGGGTTAAAAGTACAATATTTAGCTCTAAAATGTAATAAAGTCAAAATATGAAGTAGTACAAAAGCAAAATACTCAAGTACAGATACTGCAAAATGGTACCTACTGTAAGTGCAGCATTTGAGTAAATGTACTTAGTTACTTTCCTTCACTGCCCCTGGGTTTGATTAAAACACTCTCAAATGAAAAGTACAGCAACGCACAAAGGATTCAGTCCCCAGCTGTCTGCATTTTTGGACCCAACCACCACCTTCCTAGTATTATTAATGTTCTATAGTTCAAAACCATACACCGTCAACAGACAATAAATATTGGCTTCCTGATCCAAACTCCAGTCCAGGTAGTGAGGGTAATGCACCATTTCATTGTTTGCCAACCACCATAAAACACCAAGAAGAAGAAGACAACTGAAGGACCCTTGGCTGCAATACAACAAATGCTGGCATGTCACAGTTTTACAGCTGTTATTGTGACACCACTATGATTTAAGCTGTGGACCAATGTAGCTATTGTACACTTTAATGTGAGACTGTGCTGAATGTTAACAAATACAACCAAAGCTATCTACATGGCTGGATACCATTACAGATCCATGTCTTTGACATGGACAATCTCCTGCTGTGTGTTACATGTGTGAAAGGGCATCTTCTTATGAGATATGAGTTCATATGGGAAAACGGCTTTAGTCTCTTTCTGCATGCACACACACAGAGTCACAGGGCAAAGACACAAGAGAAAGCTTCTCATTAAGGCTGGGGTGACATCTCCCCACTGTGATTTGGACAGACATTATCGACCCTCTCTATCTTGTGGTAAAACCCTCGGTGTGGGTGATGGGTCAGTGTCAGAAGAGGCAGTCTGTGTATAGGTGGGTGGAATAGAAGAAGGCATAGGAGGGGGACTCCAAGGGCTACTAGCAGTCAAGCTGTGGCTGCATGGCCAACATTGTAATATCACACATTTACACTGATGTCATACATGTTACACAAACCCTGCTGCTGCATAGATGAGACTTGCTGTAAAAGAAGTTCAGTTGGGGATTAGCTGCTACTCTGGCTATCACAGTAATTACATTTTTTCAGTGCAACATCCTCTCTTTAGAAGATAAAAATGTAACAATCCATCTCATCCCAATCCAATGCTTGACTTTGGACCGATACAAAAACATAAATCAAAGTGTATAACAGATGGGAGGGGTTTGGCGAACTTCACATCCAGACTTTTGTTAGTTAATAGGTTGCATTAAGCCTATCAAGTGGTGTGGTGTGTGATAAGCAGCCTCACGGGCCCAGTAGGGGCCTGAAGAACTCTTGTAATGAATGGTTGGAGCACTGCTGATGCGCGGCAATCATTAACAGCCTGATAATTACTCTGGATACCTCAGTGGATTGTTGTGTGTGTGTGTGTGTTTGTGACGCAGATAGAGCCATTACGATGTGTGAGGCCTCAGAGAAAAACAGATAAGCACCGTGTCTGTGTGTATTTTGGCTTGCTGGTTGACATGTTGTGTGTGTGGCATAGAAATGTCCTACTGCGGCTCTGTATTCATGCTTACAATTGCAAATACGAGCATATTCTCTGACACTCACTGTGAAGGTATTTGAAACGCTGCTGTTAAAAACAAAACACTGGCCTGATTAAGTAAACATGATGAATGCTGGGTATTTAGGGTTTCTGTAAGGAATGATAAAATTGCCCATAAAGTCCTGCTTTTCCCTCCTTCTGACAGCAAAGCATTATGGTGTCCTCACTTTTAGCATAAATTACAAAGCCTCACCAAGGTCTAATTTTGACAGCATTCCTCAGCATCAGTATGATCAAGACAGATTAGATCAGATTCATGTGTTGGTATTTGAACACTGATTTGTTTATTCAGTGGGTTCATTACTTGCTTTCTGATTAATGTCTCTATGGAAACAAACCCATCACCCAGCACTAGTGACAGTGTGACATAGGAGACTAATAGGAAAAAAACACAGTGATGCTCTTATACTATATAGCTTTCAAATGGATCTGTACAATACAACAGGCATCTCAGAGACTCCAACGAAAACACATAAATCCATAAATATATCTTTTAAAAATTAGACATTCTGACATCAGTTGTGCTTGGTTACATGTTTCCTTGCCTTACAGTCAAAGTAAAATTTGAGTCCTTTTTTAGTTAAATATTTGGATTTTTTTAGATACTGAAAAGTTGTATTTTGCTTTTGAAATGCATATGGATGATTTCTAGTCCAATGCATACAAACCTAGCAACCTACCAAAACACGGTAGAGTAGCAGAAGGAAACACAAGTCACAGGGTGCAGCTATTGAGAGGCCTAGTCCAAAAATAATTACATTTGGATTCAAGGACAATGTCAATAGTAAGAGGAGAACAATGGCATGCAAAGTCTGCATTGTAAAAATCATCATCACAACCACATCATCCAGTCTCATCAGTCACTACAAAACTCACAAGGAAAGGTAAGTATGTCACTGTGTATGTTAGCTAACATATTGGCAAGGTCAGTAGTTAGCTGGAAAGCTAATGTTAAGTTTAAATTGTTAGAATGACTTTGACTCAATTATATATTTTACTGAGAATAGTTTCTGATAGCCATGAAAAGCATGTCTTTTTTATTTAATAGTTAAGGTTTATGTTATAGCCTCCATCCATCTATCCATTTTCCTCCACTTATCCGGAACCAGGTCACGGGGGCAGCAGTCTAAGCAAAGATGCCCAGACTTCCCTCTCTCCAGACACTTCCTCCAGCTCCTCCAGGAGAATGCCAAGGTGTTCCCAGGCCAGCCGAGAGACATAGTCCCTCCAGCGTGTCCTGGGTCTTCCCCGGGGCCTCCTCTCGGTGGGACATGCCTGGAACACCTCCCTAGGAAGGCGCCCAGGAGGCATCCGAAACAGATGCCCGAGCCACCTCAGCTGGCTCCTCTAGATGTGGAGGAGTAGTGGTTCTACTCTGAGATCCTCCCGGGTGACCGAGCTCCTCACCCTATATCTGAGGGTGGGCCCAGCCACCCTGTGGAGGAAGCTCATTTCGGTCGCCTGTAACCGGGATCTTGCCCTTTCGGTCATGACCCAAAGCTCATGACCATAGGTGAGAGTCGGAACGTAGATCGACCAGTAAATAAGACCCCAAGATACTTGAACTCCTCCACTTGAGGCAGGAACTCTCCACCAACCTGAAAGGAACAAGCCACCCTTTTCCGACTGAGAACCATGGCCTCGGACTTGGAGGTGCTGATTCTCATCCCAGCTGCTTCAAACTGCCCCAGTGCACGCTGGAGGTTCTGGCTTGACGGAGCCAACAGGACAACGTCATCTGCAAAAAGCAGAGACGAGATCCTGTGGTCCCCAAACCGGACTCCCTCCGGCCCCTGGCTGCACCTAGAAATTCTGTCCATAAAAGTAATGAACAGAACCGGTGACAAAGAGCAGCCCTGCTAGAGTCCAACATGCATGGGAAACAAGTCTGACTTACTGCAGGCAATGCGAACCAAGCTCCTGCTCTGGTCATACAGGGACCAGACAGCCCTTAGCAAAAGGCCCCGGACCACGTACTCCCGTAGCACCCCCCACTGGGCGCCGCGAGGGACAGAGTCAAATGCCTTCTCCAGATCCACGAAACACATGTGGACTGGTTGGGCAAACTCCCATGAACCCTCAACCACCCTGAAGAGGGTATAGAGCTGGTTCAGTGTTCCACGGCCAGGACGAAAACCGCATTGTTTCTCCTGAATCCGAGGTTCGACTATCGGTCGAATTCTCCTCTCCAGTACCCTGGCATACACTTTCCCAGGGAGGCTGAGGAGTGTGATCCCCCTATAGTTGGAACACACCCTCCGGTCCCCCTTCTATGTTATAGCCTACGAATGCACAATTAATAACCAGAGGAGGTTTGTGAATGTTTCACTTAAATATGAGATATTCCCATAAAATTACCAGAGCCCCAGAATTTTGTATGACTTGATTTGTGAATTGCTTGACTTGTAACAGGGACTCGACTTGACTTGCTTGACTGTCACCACCGTTATTTGGGACTTGCAGGTTAAGACTTGAGACTTACTTGTGACTTGCATGTGTGTGACTTAGATGCAGGAGATGATAGTGGACATGAGGAAGGAGGGGAGAACTCAGCAGCCACGGTTCATCCGGGGGCTTGAAGTGGAGAGGGTGAAAGGCTTCAAGTACCTGGGCGTCCACATCAGTGAGGACCTCACTTGAACACTTAACACCATACAGCTGGTCAAGAAGGCCCAACGGCCGCTGTACTTCCTGAGGAGGCTGAGGAGGTTTGGCATGTCGCCTAGGATCCTCAGCAACTTCTACAGCTGCATTGTTGAGAGCATCTTGACCAGCTGCATCACTGTCTAGTATGGCAGCACTACTGCTATG